GTATGGAGGTTCCTCAAAGGACTCCACATAGAGCTCCCCTATGACTCAGCAATCCCACTTTTGGGCATTTACCCAAATGTTCACAAACAAGACCACACTAAAGCTACCAGCACGACTATGTTTATTGCAGCCTTATTTACCATAGCTAAGATATGGAACCAACCCAGATGCCCCTCAGTAGATGAATGGATCAAGAAAATGTGGTCTATATACACAATGGAATTCTATGCCTCCATCAGAAAGAATGACATTGCCCCATTTGTTAGGAAATGGAAAGACTTGGAAAAAAATATATTAAATGAAGTAAGCCAGGCCCAAAGAAACATAGGTCCCATGGTTTCCCTTATTTGCAATATCTAGTATATGTCTGAGACAAGCAGAAAAGGTCAGATAAGATGATGTTAAGTAAAATGAACCCCAAGATAAGGACACAAATGTTTTTTATTTCTTGCGATTGTTTCTAACATATTTATAAGATGATTTCTTTGTATGATTGCTTTGTATGTTCCTCCCCCATGGTATAACCCCTGTTTTCACTGTATTTGCTGTTGGTATAATTTGTGGAGGGGAAGGGAAAAAAAATTGCTTTAATAGGGATATAGGTAGACCCATTGCAACAATGAGATGTACAAGACATTATGTCGAAAAATGAACTTTACAACTTTGGTGGGGGGGTGTTGGTGGGGAGAAGGGAAGGGGAAACAGGAGGATGCAGCAATGCTTGATAAGAAATGTACTCATTACCTTGCTCATGTGATTGTAACCCCTCTGTACTGTATTTTCACAATAAAAAAATGGGCAAAACTATGTCTACTGAAGTAGAAATGGAGATGACAAATGAAAACCTGTTCGACATGTGTGATGAGAGAATTGAAATCACGGTATCGGGAGCCCACTCTGAGTACATGCCTCTCGCCAGACTCAAATCCAGCACCAAATGCTAGAAAAGACGAGGAGAAGCAGGACGCTTGTTTGTGGTTGATGGAAATGCAGACTGGCGGGGTCATTTTGGAAGATGGCTTATCCATTCTGTCAAGCATGCTCTTCAGTATTTATCTCAAGTGGCTTGAAAAGACAATGTGCATACCCAAACTTCTGTATGCAGCTCTGTTTATTGTTGCTAAAATTTTTATGCAACGAAGGTGGCCTTCAGGAGGCAAGTGGATCAATAAACTGTTAAGTCCAGCCAACAGAATATTACTTAGTGATAATAAAAAAGCTATCAAAGCCCATGAAAAGACTTGGAGGCAGGTCAGGTGCATATTGCAAAGGGAAAGTCAATATAAGAAAGCTGTGTGGTTCCAATTACATGTCATTCTGGGAAAGGCAGAACAGTGGAGACAGCAAAAGGATGAGCAGTCACCACAGTCGATGGGGGCTGAGCATAGGTGGCGCACGGATGATTTTGAAGGCAGTGAAATTATGCTGTGTGCCTACTTGTCATTTTACATGCATGAGACCCATAGAATGTTTAATGCTCTGAAGGAAAGCCGTGGGCCTGGGATTGTCACTGAGGGTTCATTGGTTCTGACAAGTTTCCATTGCCCTGGGACTTGTTGCTAGTGATGGAGCTTGTGTCTGTGTGAGGTCTGCAGGATAGGAGGGCTCTGTGTTTTATGCTTAATGTGGCTAGGTGTGGTGACACTCATCCAAAAAACCCAGTACCCAGGAGACCGAGGCAGGAGCATGCCCTACAGTAATTAGTATATTAATATTAATAATTAAAATTAATTCCAGCTGGATTACAAAGTCCGTATTTAAAAATAAATTACAAAAAACTTGAGAAAATACAAAATGATTTTTTTCTGATCTGAGTGAAAATACTTAAAAAGAACTATAAAGATGTCTAGATGTTAGTGTCATTTAATGTGTTAAGTGGTAAAAGGCAAAGATTAAAGCACTTTATGAGTAACATTAATACATCAAGATGTTTATATAGGTACACACCCTCTTATTTAAGTTTATACACACAATCAGAAAGAGGTTTAGAAATTTCTCGTAAATGTAAAAGGATGTGTGTTGGTGTGACAGAGTTCAAGTCAGGGGAACGGGAAGAGGGAAACTTTGCTTGCTCCCCGTGCGGGAAATGGGAGCTGTATACTCCAAGCGGCGCTTGCTATCTGTAGCAAATACATGTGACCATGTCCTCTAAGAGCTCGAAATCCTTACACAACAGTGATATGGACTTTTGTGGAAAGTTTCATGCTTATCTAGATTACAATGAAATATACACTAAACCAATAGGATTCAAAGAGGCAGGCACCAGTGGTTATACCTGTGATCCTAACTACCCAAGAGGTGGAAATGGGGGAGGATTACAGTTCAAGGCCAGCCTGTGAAAAAGAAATTTGTGAAATCCTATCTCAACCAAAAAAACTGTTGGTGTGTACCTGCCACCCCAGATATGGAGAGAAGTGTAAATAGGAGGGTTGAGGTACAGCCAGACCTGGCAACAGGCAAGACCCTATCAGAAAACCAGAGCTGGAAGACCTGAAGGCTTGGCTCAAGTGATCTAGTGGCCACCTTGCAAGTGCAAGGCCCCGAGTTCAAACCTCAGTACTGCAAAAAGGATTTTTTAAAAAAGATTTATTTAAAGTTTTTATATGATATTGGTGCAAATCTAATATGTACCATAATAAAAAGTACCAGCAGAAAAAATCAAAATATGCTGATACAGTGCCCACTCCTGTGTTCTCCATCTGTTTTCCTGTTCTTCACATTAGATCAAAACAGTTTATAGATCCACCCTCCCTCGTCTCTCCCCCACCACACCGATCAAGCAACACATTAATTTTGCTTATTTAAAAATGTCTCTAACTTTCTCCTGTTTGTGCGTAGGTGGTATGATAGGAAACAGGAGCCCCTGTATAAACGTAAGAACTACGGTTACCTGGGTATCTAGGGACAGGAAATATCAGTATCACCTGGAGCCTTATTGAAGTTACTTGGAATTGTTAAAAGTTTTCACTGATATATTTTAAACTACTGGCTGCTTGAGAACCACTAAGGAGCTAGTTATGGAGCGTTGGCTATATCCCTCCAATGCACTGGAACAGAGAAAGGTTGAAGATGGTTAATGATTTCTACAGATCTTATCATCTTTTCTTTTTGATGTCTCAGTTTTTGATAAAACATAAGTGAAGCCCTACTCTGGGGTTTTGTTACTTATATAATATGTAATTTATGTAACTTACTAATTTCATATAGAAGTTTTATTTAGCATGTTCGAAAGTATGCTAAGCACCTTGAAAAACATTAAATGTTGATAATAAATGAGATGTCCATAGTTGAATTCAGGGTTTCATTTGAGGAATTTCTGTAAAAGTAAATGAGATGTTTTAGATGAATTAGGGACTTTGAGGAGTTTATAATCAATCACACAAAGGGCAGGTTTGAAAAAAAAATGCATAAACTCCTATTAACACCCGAAAGACAATTGAGTTTGATTTAGATTCCAGGAGCAAAGTTGCTCAGGGAAGATTTCACCTGAGTGAGCTCCAGAAAGCACTGGGAACACAGTAAAGGGGCAGATAGAGTGTGTCAGGGAGATATCCCTTCCCTTAAGCAAAGGCCTGAGGTGTAGGCATGCTTAGGAATGGTAAGTAATACACTTCACTAGCAATATAAATACGTTCTGGTAAGAATGGATTGAAAGTTTGACCTTGTTAATGATGGCCTTGAATCATCAGTGTCTATAGTTAACATCTAAGATTGTTTTCTAAGATTTTCCTGTGTATTGATTAATAGCCAATTGCTATTCATTTCTTGCGTCTAGCACATTATTAATGATATTTAGTAGATGAGAGAAGGCTTTTCTGTCTGTTTGTATCTGTACCTCAAGAGCTTAGAAAAGTGGCTGGTATATAACAGGTATAAGTGAAATCTAGGGATGAATGCATTTGTCTTCCAAAGAAAGGAGAATCTTAACTGGTTGTAGTGTAAAGAGATCTTGTTTTATTAGGTGGAGTTCATTTTGAAACTTACAAAATGCTACAAACTTCATAATTTACCTGGTTGCATTTCTCTGTGTGTACACATGCGCGTGCATGCACATGTGGTGTTATATTTGGGCTTTTGTTAAACCGGTGTCCCTCCTCTCTGGTACTTGCTATTTAGTATGCTTAATATTATTTTGGACTGTTAGCTTTGCTGTCATTCTTTACATAACTGTGAAAAATAAGTTTATATGGCATTTTTTGAAAGAATAGTTTACAAGTTGAATTGTATGTTGCCTATAACCTTGTATTATTCCTAGTGTTTGGTCTAACAATTGCAATATGCATCCTTAATTTACCATTGTCCCACTTGTATTAACACCACCTCTCACAAAATATAAGAAATTTACTGTAATATAATTCTGTCATATTTTACTTCTGCATTTGTTATTAGCCTATTGGCCTGTCAATTATTTTCTTTGTTTTGTTTTAATTAATTTATGTTGTTGGTCCTGGGGCTTGAACTCAGGATCTAGGCACTATCCCTGAGCTCTTTTGCTCAAGACCAGCACTCTTCCACTTTGAGCCACAGCTCTGCTTTGAGTTTTCTGATGGTTAATTGGAGATAAAAGTCTCACAGACTTTCCTGCCCATGATCCTCAGATCTCATTCTCCTGAGTAGCTAGGATTACATGAGTGAGCCACCAGAGCCCACCTTCCTTTGTTCTGACCAATTATCTTTTAAATGAATTTAGGAAAGTAACATTTTTTAAAGTTTTAAGAATTAAGCATTAAGTTTAGGATATTATTGGGTTTTAGAATGTAATCGTCTATGAAATGATGAAGTGAATGGTAATTTCTATGAAATAAAAACATGGTGGTGTGTGGATGTGGACTCGGAATCGGCTGTGCTACATACTTACTATCCTTAGTCAGGGGCACTGAATGTGTCCTGCATTAGTACTTACCATCTGTAGTCAGGGGTGCTGAACATATGGCTTGTGTTGATCATTCATTTTGTAATCCATTTATATTTTTACCTTATGTTTTTGTATATCACTACAGCTAAAGAAGTAAACAGGTCATGGCACGTTTAACAAAAAGACGACAGGCGGATACAAAAGCTATCCAGCATCTTTGGGCAGCCATTGAGATTATAAGGAATCAGAAGCAAATTGCCAACATTGACCGTATTACAAAGTAAGTAAATCTAAACAAACATTTCCCCACAAACTTTCATATAGGACTTTGCCTTATCAGCTGTGCCATTTGACACATTACAGGGGACTGAAGTCCCTTTCTGCCTTGTAGAAGTACCCAGTTGTTAGCTAAACCAAAAAATGTACAGCTTGTATATAGCTTATATATCAAGTTTAGATGAATAAAACGTGTATGTTCTACTTGTACTAGGTTTTAGTTATACATGTTTTATAACACTCGGAAACTTCGTCTTTTTTGAAGAAAAGGTATTTAGTTAATCACTTACGTTTGTGCTGTGTGGTGAAGCTGTCTAAAAGCAGTCAAAAGTGTTGTACTCATACAGGATGCTCTTGATGTGTAGAGTCAACAATAGCTTAGTGGCCTTTTGCCCACTAACAGAATTTTTAGTGAGGTCATTCTTAATTTTAGAAATTATGTGTCATGAATAGTTTTCAAAAATGAAGTGTGTTCTTTCTGGTTTCTAATGGTAGACCAAAATTTGGTATAGAAAATCAGACCTAAGCTACTGATAAATATTGATGCAGGGGTCTTCAATTATTAGTTTGATTTTGCTTTACGCTATCTGTATCATTAAAAGTATAAAATTAGGTGTATGTATTATAAATGTTTAGATGATCTGGGTGTGGAGGTGGTAATTTAATTTAGATAGAAGTATGCTTACCCTTTCCCAGGTTCTTTGGATATTGTATATAAAAATGGAAAGCAGAGAATTATGAAACTTCACTTACATAACAGTGTTTTGGGGCTTTATTAGTAAGTAACCAAATTAAGTTCCATGTATTTTTTCTCTTCCCTGGATTTGGCTGTGTGAGGAAGGAGTTGGCAGGAGGCAGGGTGGGTGAGGCGACATTTTGCCCTGGTCCCTGAGGACAGCTCCGGCTCCTGTAGGCTAGTAGACCAGAGGAAACAATACAGCACTATGTGGAAAGTAAAAATAAAGGAAATAGTTTGTTTCCGTAATTATGTTTTTAAATAAAGCAAGTGATGTGGGGCTTGGTAACTCCGTGCAGAATAAATTCTAGAAGGTAATGTTGACATGAAAAATGTAGAGGACTAGCTCCTTAGTAGTGGTAAGAATGTAGCAGGCCTTTGGTTTGATCCCCAGTAATAAAGGAATAAAAAATTGCACAGAATAAAGGATTAAGTATTTTCTTATGGTTGAGATTTTTTAACAACATATTTTTAAAAATATACAGATACAGGAGAATATTAATGTGGCAATACCATAGTGTTCTTTGGTTAATTTTTAAGTTAAAGTCAGTCGTTGATGTTCGATGTTTTGTTTTCTGAGACTTCTTTCTAATCTGTGGACTCTTTCACTAGTAGCGTTAGGCTGTTCTCTAAGATGCTATCAGAATCTCCAGTATGAAAGTGGCAGTTACCTTGTGATACCCTGTGTGCCTCCCTAGTTATGGGTGTTATGGGTCTGTTGGAGCATCATCACACTTGTGTGTGTAAACACGCTTTGACATGTGAACTAGAGATGCAGAGATTATGAACCTCCCCTTCTGTAATTCATTTTCTTATACAGGATTACTTGTGTCTTCTCATGTTCTGTTAGGGGTCTCATTGCTTTGTCTTCTTTAATAATAGCCACGGCACAGCTTCCTTCGTCTTAAATCCACTGTTCTTGATTAAACCAGAATACGTTCATTGACATACCAAATGATATAGTTTCATTAGTCGTATTGGAAGATGGAAGGAAGAGAGGAAGGCAGAGGGGGAAAGAAGAATGGAAGGAGAGAGACAGAGGGACTGGTAGAGAAGGAGAAAGGTACATATACATAAATGGACAGAAAACAGAGCCAACAAAACAAACCAGTTAAGTGTTCAAGAGTGCTTTCCAGCATTACTTCTGCTCATCTATATTCCTTTCCTCTGTGGCTCCCAGTAGAGTATTCTATACTTCCTTTATAGCATGAACCTCATTGTACCCTGCTGGACCAGCACCTCCAGGAAGGAACTGTCCAGGGAATTTCCTACCAGCACCTTTGCTCCTTGGCTATGCCCTCCCCTTGCGTGTCACCCTTGTCTAAGGTCAGGTAGGAAATGGCTCTCATCTGTTAATACAAATCACAGCTTTTACTCTACAGCCTAGAGGTTCTTCTCTGCACTCTCCAAAGGTAAACATTTTGAAAACTTGAGATTTATTTCCCATCCGTTTATTTTGGTTACTTGTTCAGGTCTGAACATAGAGGTATCTTTTAAACTTTAAACACATCTTAAGTCACCACCAACTTTAGTAGAGTTAGACAAGAATGCATATGTAGTTGTTTTGTCCTTTATTTTGGTTCTATATATTTTTTTTAAAAAGATAAAGGCTAGTTTCAGGTATCCGTTACATTCTTTGAGGTAACTGACTCTTTAACCTGGTACATCCTCAACTGGCTAATTATTTCTGTGTCATGGTTTGTTCTAGCTCTGCTTTTAGTTTAAAAAAAAAAAAAATCTCCAGCTTTCCTATCCATCTTTGTTGTTTTTTCTCTGGGAGCTAGTGAAGAAATCAGGTCATTCGTTCTGTGTCTTCCCTGGGTCTAGCTTCTGCAAATCGCACAGCTGTGGTCTGGTTTGGCCTGTGGCTCAGTCCTCTGTGTTTCATGGGGCTCGGCAGCTGCATCTGGAGGCTGGATGAGGGCTGGATGGTTTTGTAGGTGGTGCCGTTTGCTGTCAGCGAACACTCACTGTTGAGTGTTTCTTATTCTGTAACACTTGTAGCTGTTGATCTAGTAATTCATGGAAGCTTGAAAATGGTAATAATTGGTTTTGTCTTTGATTTTTGTACTGGAATATGTTTGCAAGGTAATGCTCTGCTACTTGTGTACCTATGCACAATTCATATAGTATTCCTTGCTTTATCCAGATAGCACCTTCTGTTGATAACTGGGTAATTTTTAAAGTGTCATTTGGAGTTCATGTACTTAAAATCATTTACTGTATTTCAGCTCATATCTGATGTATTGCTTGTGTTATTGCTTTATTCTGTATACAAACTATTATTCTGGCATCTCAGTATTCTGGGTTTTATTTTCTGCCTTTTTTGTGTATCATTTTCTATTGAGTTCTTTTCATCCTCTTTTTATTTCTCCCTTTAAAAAAAATTTAACATTGCCCTTCTTTACAGTGTGTTACTCTATGGCATCATCTGCTGTGTGGGTTCATTCTTGTGTACTTCATATCTGTTTTGTTTTTTCTTTTTTTAGTACGAGGATGGAATCTAGGACTTGATTTCTGAAGGACTATCTTTATTTACTTTAAATGTTTACCTCATTTCTGAGATTTTTCTCTAATTCTAATCCACATCTTCCACATCTTTTATCATTGTCTTCTGTTTCCTCCTGTGTTGAACTAGTAGGTGTCTGCCTTTCTGTCTCTGTCTCTGTCTCTGTCTGTCTGTCTGTCTGTCTGTCTCTCTCTCTCTCTTTTCTCTGCATACCTTGTTATGTGTATGCTGCTCTGCTTCTCCAGCCACAGTGGTCATGGTGATGTGAGATCAGTTTTCCTGAACTAGTATTGGGGAAACAGTTGTTATTTTTTATGCCATTCTTATAAATTTCCAAAAATATGTTCACATGTTTTCTGAGATTTCCTGGGGAAAAGGGGGTTCTCTCCCTATTTTTTCTGTAACTGCCCTTTCTCATTCTGAAAGTTTTATAACGATTGCATAGTGTTGCAGTCTTATTCCTAGCGTGTTGCTACAACATGGGTCTTTGTCCTGGAATGGAGCTTTGTCTGTGTGATTTTGAGCATTCACAAGCACGTTGTCCCCTGGCTATTGTAAGGCTATCCTGTGTATCTGTGGAGCCTTGGGGGTCATCTTCCCCTGAGCTTGTCCCCCCCTGCCTTCCAGCGAGGCTCTGCTGGCCGTCCTCAGGCCTGGGGTGCTCTGGCTCCCACACTCAGCGCTGTCCTCACCTGCTCACAGGACTCCTGTTGTTTGGTTTAGCTGTATGTGTTGTGCAAGGGTGCTCTGCTTTGCTTTTGAGGTTTAACCGTGTTACCTTCTTTGCATCTTCCTAGTTCACAATAATCTTGTGATTTTTCTTAAAACAGAACAATGGGTTGCTAAAGATGCTGGATGGTTCCTAAGGTACAAAAACAGAGCTATAAACCATTTTTGAAAAGTATCCCCTCAGTAGATTCAAGAAGCACGACTATTTTTCATTTTGGGTACACTCCTGGACATGTCAGGATCTACAGGAACTCTTTCCTGCTGCTCGGATCCTTCCGGTGACAGCCAGTGTGGTGCAGGTTTAGAAAGGCCTCCGTAAGAAGCTGTATAGCAATATAAAGTAATTAAGCCCCAGATCCTCACAATTAGTTAGTCCCGTAGGGTAATATTAATTATGATGATGATGATAATAGTTCCTGTAGCAAAGTAGAACAGTTTGTCTATGTCTTAAGTTTGTTCACCTCATGTTTTTTGGGGGTATGGGAGGTGTGGGTTGTGCCAGGGATCAAACGCAGGGTCTTGAGTGTGCTAGGCCAGTGTTCCACATGGAGCCGGGTACCCCAGGCCACCTGGAGCTGGACATCCCCTTGGGGACCCCAGCACTGGGAATCACAGGTGGGCACCCGCACACCTGGCTCTTGTGCTTAATTACGATGTCATGTAACTTTCAGAGCTCGTTGCAGCAGCCACCCGTGAGGGTTATCAGGAGAGCTCCCAGGAAACTCTCCGAGTTCTTTACCACCTTTTAATCATCTTTTTTTTCTTCTTTAACTGTTAGTATTAGATCTTAGAACTGTATTGCAAGTTAGGGAATTACTACTAAATAGTTCAAACAGCTTAAACATATATCTCAGAGAGACTTCTTTAGCAAGTTGTAAGATAAACTTTTTTTTTTAAACAAATTCTGTTATTTTAACTACTTTTGGGGGTTCGGCCTGCACTGATGACGCAGAAGTCTCCCATCTTAGCTTGCTGAGTAGTTAAGATTACAGGTGTGAGCAGCTGTGGTACTGTGGTACTGTCCCTCAGA